TTCAAGTGTTTTGTATCTTAGACTTAGCTTAGTATTTTGTAGCTTAGAGTGGTTTGGTTTGCACCAAAATAATAAGTATCTGTTTGGTTTATAGTTGAAATCAAAATCCCTTCCTTGAAATCAGAATCAGATTGGGCTATTCCCCTATATGTTTAGTTCAGACCGGAATCAGAATTAATTGGAGTGGATTTCATTCCCAAGAGAGAGGGAGAAAATAATCATTACCTTAAATGGGGAATGCCATTTCACCAGCAATGAAAAACATATTCCGATTTCACCTAACCAAACGGTTGAAATTGAAATAGACCATTCCAATTCCTGATCCCTAATCCCATGAATCAAATTGACCCTATATGTTCTATTCTCCCCTTATTCTATATTTACAACAGTTGTTTTGATATTCTTTGGCCCTGTCTTTCTATTTTGGATAGTATATGCCAGGAGCCTAGATCTCTTAAAAGCAGACCCTAAGAGCACTGCATCAAAGCACACAGTAGGAATATCTCTAATACATGTATGGTAAATTCATGGATAGATATTTCCACTGTGTAGCTGGATGGATGTTAGTGCTCTGACAGTATTCAGGAGATCCCCTCATGCACCAAGTCTTATTTTTTTCTTAATTTTCTTAATGTTGTATATATATTCTTAGGTTGACAAATAAGCTTGTCCATCTGGTTGGGAACCAAATGGAAGCTCATCCTTTGGTTTTAGTGATGTCATAACCTTCATGATCTATGGATTCTTTTTAAACAAAAACCGTTGCACATCTGATGTTATCGAGGATACGAGTGTCCTCTTAATCAAATCCTATTTTTCGAATTCATTACATGTCAAGTTAGTAAACAATGTGAGAAGCCTTTTGTTGTGTAGACCTTAGAAATGATGGGTCTCAAATCAAAGATGTTCTTTTAGCTAGATTTCATAAGCAAACACATTGTGGCTTGGGTTAGAAATTAGTTTATTCAAGTAAGGCAATAATGGGAAAAATACAAATTAATTTATTCTGTCGTTAGACCATTCAAAGCTAAAATCCCTAAAATCTACAAAACTGGAAAAAACATCTTATCGCGTATCAGACCAAATATCCTGAAAAAAAAAAATTAAGGAAAAATAATTACTTGAGTTAACAAGAATTCGAAAGAGACTTGTGTACAAATGAACTGGCATGCAATTTTACTAAATTTCACTATATCTTAATATGCAAGGTGTCAATCGATTGGTTTTGGATTGGACCAAAATCAATTTGGACGGATTAGACAGACCAACAACATATATTGGATCGGACCAATTCGGTCCAAAACATTTGTTAGATTGGATTGAACCTAGTCCATCCAATAACAAACTTATATTGGATTGGGTTGGATTAAGTYAATATCTGGTTCATTGATATAAGATAAGAATATATGTATMAATGAATCGGGTTTGGGTTGAAACCAATCAAAATCAAAATGAATTTGAACAGATTGGATAGTTTAAACATTAAATTGGATCAATCCAAATTGGTCCAAAACATTCATTGGATTGGATTGGACCTGGTCCATTTATAATGGATTCACATTGGACTGGATTGGATTGGACCAAATCCAATCCAATTGACACCCTTATTAATATGGATACACTGGTTTTGTACCCATCCACCCTTCAGGCAATGAACAACGACCCGACAACAAATAGCATCCACAATAGAAGAGTACAATGAAATGGGTAGCAAGACACCACTCATCTCTATCACAGATCACCCTCCTGTGTTCTTGACCTACAACCGAGTAAAGTTGAAGGTTGTATTCTAAAAGAATTGACCACAAAAGGGTGGATGCTGAGTTTTATTTTGAAGATTTGAAGAATAAATAAGGGAAAAATTGGCCACAAAAGGGTAATATTGGATTCTAAAAGAATTTTATATGTTACGTGGTGTCATATGTGAACTGATTATGATAGAACACTAACGGTTGCTAATGGCAGGGGAGGATTTAGTCAATTTTCAAAAAAAAACTTAAGGATACTTTAGACAATATGTAAACAATAGTCAATAGGAGTAACATTAGTCAATTTCCTAAAAGTTAGGGATACTTTAAGAGATTTGCACCTCTATAAAATATAGAAATGATTTACAATTTAAAAATATTGTTGATGCAATGGAAATTAAATTTAAAAATATTAGAAAAAAAATTCCTTTATGTTGCTTAGCTACAATTTTAGATCCTAGGATAAAAAAGATGATGTAGATGTTTTATTTGAATCTTATTATAAAAATATGAGAATTGATATTGGAACTAAAAAAGAGATGAAGTTAAAAACTTATTATATGACATGTATAATATATATGAATCACAAACATTAGGACATAAGAGTACTTGCACAAGCTCTACTACTGAAACCACTAGTTCTAGTAGTGGAACATCAGTTGCCACTTTATCAACAAATTCATTTACTAAAATTCATTTTTATTTACAAGCTAACTTAATAGATTTTCTTATCACCTCTAAGGAATTATGTAACTTTGATATTTTAGCCTAGTGAAAAGAAAATAGAAAAAAAAATATTTAGTACATTCCACCATGACACATGATTTACTAATCCCTCTGATTTTCATAGTTCCATTGGAGTCTTGTTTTAATGCAAGTACCAATATATTGGATGACAAGAAAAGCTGCATGAATGACGAAAGCTTTGAAATGTGCATATGTTTTGAGGATTAACTTGACGTAGAAGATAGACTTTAAGATGAAAGAGGACATGACACTTCAACTAATGGTTCACCGGATGTGTATGATATAAATAAAGATCAAGGAGATAGAAGAGGTGGAACTTAAAGAAAATATTGAAGTCAAGTCAACATTTTTTGAATATTCAATAATTATATAATATTTATAAAAATTGTAAATTTTGTTTGTCAAATTTTTAAAATTTATTTGTTTTTTTCAATCCAATTGTAAACTTTTATTTTCGATTTTATAATATTATTTTATTACAATTCCATTGTATTTTTCAATTTAATTTTATTACTTGATATATGATCAATTATATACATAAAATTCAAATGAAATAATTTTTTTGGTATTTTCTTTTCAAATTGTTTTCTATTTTATATTTTTAGTGTTTTTATTGTTAATTTTTATTATTTTCAAAATTTTTGTTATTTTTTTACTTAGCAAGAAAAGGTAGAAAAAAGTAAACAAAAAAGGAACAAGCTCGTGGCCCAACAAGATATGAGCCTACATGGGCTTGGGTTGCGAGTAGGGTTGTCAATCGACCGATTTTGGTTTGGTTTCAATCCGATCCAAACCTTATCAAATCAGATTTGGACGATCCATTATAATTATTGGATTGGGCCAATCCAATATAAATTAGTCCATATTCTTATTGGTTTGAATTAAACCTAAACCAAATTTCCAATAATCCGATCATGAGGCCAAACCCTTGTCCAATTTGAAATCAATTAAAACTGAAAACATCATAAAATCACTTTTACAAAACATTTTTATAAAAGCACTTTTATAGAAGTACTTTTATGAAAAGTATTTTTACGAAAGCACTATTATAAAAAGACTTTTACAAAAGTACTTTTATGAAAGCACTTTTATAGAAGTAGTTTTATAAAAGCACTTTTACAAAATCACTTTAATAAAAACATTTTTACAAAAGTACTTTTTTGAAAGCACTCTTATAAAAGTACTTTTACACGAAAGCACTTTTATGAAATCACTTTTACAAAAAAACTTTTATGAAAGCACTTTTACAAAAGTACTTTTATGAAAGTAATTTTATAAAAACACTTCTATGAATGCACTTTTATAAAAACACTTCTACGAATGTACTATTATAAAACACTTCTACAAAAGTACTTTTATAAAAGTACTTTTATGAAAACACTTCTACAAAAGTACACTTCTATGAAAGTACTTTTATAAAAGTAATTTTACAAAAGCACTTCTACAAAAGTACTTTTGCAAAAACACTTCTACAAAAGTACTTTCATAAAGTCCATGAAAATACTTTTACAAAAGCACCTTTTTGAAGTACTTTCAATAAAATGCTTTTGTAAAAGCACTTTTATGAAAATATTTTTATCAAAGCACTTTTAGAAAATTGTTTTTTCAATGCTAAAAGTGCTTTTATATAATTTTTGATATTTCATTCGGTTCGGATTGGATCCAATCCAATCCATTTATATTTTAATAGTTTGTATTGGATTTGGACTGAATTGAGTCCAGTCCATTTATAAATAAACTCACATTGGATTGGATCGAATTAGACCAAATCTGTCCAATTGACACTTCTGATTGCGAGACATACCGAGCTTCCCTTGTAAGGGATTCTGAGCTAGGCATGGCTTGCCAAAGCTGCATGTCGGCATGACACAACCTGCTATAGTGTGGGTGGCCCAGACTATACATATAGTTATAAGTTTATTTTTTTATTTAATATTTTTTTGTCATATAGATTTTTTATTTAATTTAAAAGATTAAAACATGTTTTATTTCCAAACAATAATTCATTTTATGAATCCTCATAATTTAAACGAGTACTTGTCTTTTTAGTGGAGGAAATAATCATCCGCCTTTTCGAGAATGGAGATAGCTATCATTTTAAGCTCATACTTTTCTTTTAAGAGTGGATAGATATCTGTGCGGTCTAAACCTGTGCTGCCACATGTCTCAAAATGAACTAGAAAGCTCGTAATGTTCCAAACTAACCTAATAGCACACATATCTATCTATATACATGTGCTAAATTATTGTCATGTCATAATATTTTTGTACAAAACATAAAATAGCACACATATATGTACTGTATGTATATACACAATATATAATTATATGCAGGCCGGATTGGGCGAAGCTAGAAATAATCACCCCTAAATTCAAATATCTATGGCTGTCTACATCCTTCGTTAATTTTGAGAGCAAACGTTGAATGTTTCAAATTCTTATTTGACAGCAACTTTTAAGTTGAGTGCAAAACCTTGTATTTTATTTGTATTTATACCGTACATATTTATATTTGTGCTTCTTTCAAACTGAGCCTAAGGCTGTATGGTCCCCTGACCCCTTGTTCTTCTCCCCTCACACCCGAGTTCTCTTCTCCTTCTGGCACCGGCGATCTGCAACGACAACCGGCGGGTACTCTCCAGCTCAACTTTTTCACACATTTCTTATTTTTTCTGATATTTTGGTTTTTCAGAAATCAGAGAAACCGGCGGCAACAGTGCTTTATCCTCCGGATCCGGCGATCATCCGGAGGTACTCTCCAGCTCTCATATTTGAACTTTTTTCACACATTTCTTATTATTATTTTTTTCTGATGTTTTGGTTTTTCAGAAATCAGAGAAACCGGCAGCAACCGGCGGCAACAGTGCTTTATCCTCCGGATCCGGCGATCATCCGGAGGTACTCTCCAGCTCTCATATTTGAACTTTTTTCACACATTTCTTATTATTATTTTTTTCTGATGTTTTGGTTTTTCAGAAATCAGAGAAACCGGCAGCAACCGGCGACAACTTGCAGCAACATGTGGAGCAGTGGGAGCACCACTTGTTGCGCTCAAGCTCTCATCCACTCTTTTGTATTCGGCAGACACTGGGATGCTGCTGGTGATTAACAAGATCCAGCCATCTCAACTAGCTGGGGAACAACGTAACGCTGCTAGGCTGTTCAAGCAGCTTAATGGGCATATCCGAAAACCTTGCCCTTGGCAATCCTACTACTATGGATGTCAAGGACGCCATGGAGAAGGTATTGGCGCTTGACAAGGCCTACCCTCTTCCCCTGCTTGGAACAATGCTCGACAAGTTCCCTGCAACTGTAGAGCCTGCTGTGTGGTGGCCGCAACAGCAGAAACGCCGCAGTCATCGGAGAGCCGAGAAGAACGGCTGGAGTGGGAAGCTGGAAGAGGAAATGAAGCAGATTGTAGAGCTGCTGAAGAAGAAAGATATCCAAGAGTATGTGAGGTTGAGCAAATTAGCTTTGATAGTTAGCAGGACCTTAGCAATTACTGGTCCTATATATACTCACTGGCCTGGTTGCCGTTGGGTCTGCTTTGGTGGGAATGGGATCGCCGTTGCATGGATCTTGGGCTGTGCTTTTGGGTGTGGTTGCTGGAGTTATGGCAAGCGTGGTGAATACCTTGGAGCATGGTGGGCAAGTAGGAGATATTTGAGATGTATCGGAGCTCTGCTGGCCAGCTTCTTTAGACTCATGGAAGAGTACATAAAGTACATTATCAAGGAAGGGAAAGCGGGGAGAAGAGAGAATGGAGAGTTATTTGAAATGAGGGTGGCTTTACAACTTGGTAGGAGCATTTCAGAGCTTAGAGATCTCGCTGCGTCGTCGGCATCTTCATCAAGAGAGTTTGCAAGCAACCTCTTCTGATTTTTTCCACTGGATCGATTTTGATACCTACGTACGTGGCCACACAAAGCTTCCTCTGTGTTTTAATCCTCAATTTTGTATAGAACACCGCCTACCAAAAATAAATAAATAGGCCTTCTAATCATGACATTATTATATATTTCCAGAAAATTCGATCGTACGTCTTTCTTCTTTCTCAACCTAGGTTAATCTACTTCGACAACTAACAGGTGGATAAAACCATGAATCATGATCTTCCATGTCCTTGTATGCACTGTTGCCGCCGGTTTCTCTGATTTCTGAAAAACCAAAACATCAGAAAAAAAAAAGAAATGTGTGAAAAAAGTTCAAATATGAGAGCTGAAGAGTACCTCCGGATGATCGCCGGATCCGGAGGATAAAGCACTGTTACCGTCGGTTTCTTTGATTTCTGAAAAACCGAAATATCAGAAAAAAAAAAGAAATGTGTAAAAAAGTTGAGCTGGAGAATACCCGCCGGTTATCGTTGTAGATCGCCGGTGCCGGAGAAGGAGAAGAGAACTCGGGTGTGAGGGGAGTAGAACGAGGGGTCAGGGGACCAACTGCACGAATTCGAGAGAGTGGGAATAGGGTTTTGACTTTTGAGATTTCAAAGAATATGTTTTGGGAGTTTTGGGGCTAACGGGAGGGATGGACGTCCCGTTAACCCCGCATGCGGGACAAGTGAACAGCGTTTGAAGGGACAGATGGCGCACTACGGGCGTGTGGGGCATTTGTAGGGGCGCAGATTTGAACTCTGCACTACCATGGTTTTGCATCAATATCATCAATATCTTTGCCCATGTGGCGTCAGAAGAACAATAAAATATACACGTAAGCGGTAAATCGTAACTGCGAATTACTTTCCTGAATTCCAAATGGCAATTGTACTGAACATCACGGTAACAGTAGGGTTTAATGGCTTTGATTGTGATTTGTGAGATGAGGATATCATTTGTACTAGCATGAGGACTCCACTTGTTGGTTAGTTGATTTACTGGTATTCCTTGAATGGTAGAATTAAATCCTTGTACTAGCATCGGGTCTCCACTTGCCAGTTGTCACACACTTTACAGAAGGATTAATTTAAAAATTAGAGTAAATTGTTGAAACCTCCCCTGAAATTTGATAATTGTAATCATTTCTCTAACCTTTCTTAGTCATTATATAGATAGACTCCTTTATCGGAATCTTTGCATTGAAATGTTTAAAATATACATACAGTTATTATTGAAGCTGATTTCTATAAAAAAGAATATGAGCTTTATAAAAAAAAAATAGTTTAAGGTTACAGTTTTACCTTTACACAATTGATATAAAGGCAAAATTTGGAAAATAAATTAAAAGGATTTGGAGTAATGATTAATATAAAGAAAAATTTTGAGAAATAAACATTTTAATCAAAAGTAATTATATAGATATTTTGGACATTTTAATACCTTGTGTTAGAAGATTTTAATAAAAGGAATCTACTTGCAACTGTGATAAAACGTTCAAAGGAAGTTATTGCAATTACCAAAATTCAGAAAGTTTCAGCAATGACAATAGAACTTTAGAAAAGGTTTCAAAAATTTATCCTAAAGATTAAAATACTTGAACCACCATGTGTTGAAACTTAAAATGAATTATGACTCTTGTTAAAGGCAAGAATTAATTAATCAATTGGGAAAATTACTTCAATCTCCCTCCCTTAGGTTATCTGACTATCACTTAAAGCTCCTCTATATGTTTTGACGCTTGAAAATCCAGGTTTTGTTTCCCCATTAATGGTTGGGGGATGAGGATTTCGAACTTTCTGTCAATATTTAGTTAGATTTCTTTGCAGAAGTTTTATATTTATCAATTTTTATTTAAAAAAAAAATTATCAATCATAACCCGCAATAAAACTTCAGCCGGTTGCCGGTGATGACCAGTTTAATATCGAAAGACGTCAAAATTTTAGTGGACTTGAAGAAAAAATAACTTCGAGTCCAAACACACTGAATCCGAACTGGTTTGAGCAAATGGTTTTCTGGGTGGTTTTGCCCTGTTGGGGAGTTTGTTTGCGATTTGCTTTGAGCAACAAAAGCTTAAAATATATTAAGAGGTTTTCATCTGGGTTTTCGCTTTTCACTTTTTCAGCATTCTTTCACATGTAGTTAGCTATCATTTATTAGAGAAACCTGGGTTTTTCATTTCTGTATACAGGGTTTGCAACTTTGGTATAATAGAAGTAAAACGGAAATTCTGTGTTCTGTGTATGACCCCTCTCTATGACTGAGAAACCATTGAGATAACTAAATGCAGGGTTAAAATCTACCTTCTTATATATTAACTCATAAAGCAATCAAAATCTAGTTTTTTTTTTTAAAAAAAAAGTTAACCAAATCAAAATCTAGTTGCAAGTCGAAAGCAATCCTTTGTCTAGCGTTCACACTTGTTGGTGGGAATTATCACCTTTCAGAATTAACAAAGTACCCCACCTTGTACAGTTGTACATTGCATGAGTCCTGGGGTTCTGATCCAACGGTCGGTTGTTGGAAAATGGGTCCTTTTCCGGTGAGAGGGAAGAAAAGGAGGAGGGGCGGCGAATTTCATACAGGAGGGAGGGAAGAAGAAGCGGAATTAGAGCGGGTGGAACTGGGATAGGGAGAAATGAAAGAGGTAGACAGCGAGAAACGAAAGCGGAAGTAGCGAGTTTACAAAATTTAAATTGTTTTTGAGTCCACACCGCCGTTAGCATCCATTTTCCGTTAGTTTCGAATTGAGTGGGCGAGGATGACGTGTTCGAAATGTATTGAACGTAACAGAAAATTTTCTGTCCCCAGGGGACAGACGATCCGACTCTCCTGACTCCTCTCATCTTATTTAACATTTCCGGTCGCCATTACCAAACCAAAACAACCTTCCCGTCCGATGCCTCTGCCGGAAATGTCAGATACCAACACTCTCCACGTAGCTATCCTCCCTAGCTCAGGGATGGGTCACCTTGTCCCTGCCGTCCGCCTTGCTGCTTCTCTTGCCGCTCGCAACTGTCGAATCACCTTCATCACCACCCACCCAACCGTCTCCCTTGCCGAGTCACGCCTCGTCTCTCGCCTCGTCTCCTTCTTCCCTAATGTCACTCGACAAGAGTTTCATCTCCTTCCCTTGGACCGCTCAACTGCCAACTCAAATGACCCTTTCTGCCTCCAGTTTGAGACCATCCGCCGCTCCGCTCACCTCCTCTCTCCAATCCTCTCTTCCTGTTCTCCGCCTCTCTCTGCTCTTGTCACAGACCCGAGCTTAGTCTCAGCGGTCATCCCTATCACGGAAAAGCTTCGCCTTGCTAATTACAACCTCTTCATAGCAAGTCCAAAGATGTTGTCACTCTTAATCTACTTCCCTACCATCGCTAATACTGACCTCAGCACCACTTCCTCTAAAACTACCGATTATATCGAAATTCCTGGTATTCCACCCCTACCCAAGTCATGGCTTCCACCACCCCTTGTAGATCCTAGTAGCCTCTTCAGGACCCAGTTCATAGCCAATGGTCAAGAGATAGTAAAATCCGATGGAATTCTGGTCAATGCATTCGACAGCCTAGACAAGGCAACCGTGGCAGCGCTTAACGGTGGTAAGGTGATGGGCAGGTTGCCGCCGGTGATCACGGTCGGGCCGTTTGTACCATTGGAATTCGAGAAGGGCTCACCAGTGGAATGGCTCGACAGGCAACCGGTAGGGTCAGTGGTGTATGTTTGCTTTGGGAATAGGACAGCTGCGTCTAGAGAACAAATTAGAGAGCTGGGTGATGGGCTTGAGCGGAGTGGGTGCAGGTTTCTGTGGGTGGTGAAGGAAAAGAAAGTGGACAGAGAGGATGAGGAGGAGGTGGGTGAGATTGTGGGTCATGGGTTCCTGGAGAGAGTGAAGGAGAAGGGGTTAGTGGTGAAGAGTTGGGTGGAGCAAGGGGAGGTGCTAGCTCACCCGGCTGTGGGTTTGTTTCTCAGTCACTGTGGGTGGAACTCAATCACTGAGGCTGCATTGTACGGTGTGCCCATTTTGGGATGGCCACAAGGTGGGGATCAGAAGATAAATGGAGAGGTAATTCCAAAGAGTGGGTTAGGGATATGGGTTGAGACTTGGGGTTGGGAAGAGATAGTGAAGGGGGAAGAGATAGGGGACAAAATTAGGGAGATGATGGGAGATGAGAAGCTGAAAGTCCAAGCAGCCCGTATTGGGGAAGAGGCTAGGAAGTCTGTTGGAGTTGGTGGAAGTTCTTACAAAGGATTGGAGGGATTGGTTGAGAAGATGAGAAAGGGAAGAGCTTGAGTGGAGCAGATCATACTTCTGCATGCAGAGGTTACGTCGACAATGATGAAGTGTTTTGGTGAACCCTGTTTGGTCGATGTCCTGTTCATCTGCTGATATATCAAGCTTTAATAACTTTGTTGAACCTTTTAGTTGTAGTAGCTAATGGTAGTCTCGTCTCTGTGGTGTAGGAGGTAGTGGTGATGGGTTGATGTAGGTTGTTTTTGTTTATGTTTGTACTGATGGTCTGAGTTCTGGTTTCCTCTTTCAATAAATTTCTAGTTAACCAAAACAGAATGTGAGCATCATTTATTTTATCACTTTTGTCATTTCTGTCTTCTCTGGTCATCGACTTAGGTGTTGCTTATGTGGAGAAACTCTTTTCTGCGACAGCAAGAACCACTTCTGTTTAGTTGTTTCGGGATACATTGCCCTATGTAATACTCGGTGACTTGGTTGGTTAAAAGCAAAAGTCTGATCACGTTAAAAGAGTTTGATAGAACCAGGGATGCATATGATCATTTCATTCATCATGCCCAGCCCAGTCCGCAAATTTCTGGGATTCGGCCTTGGTTGACCATCTGACCGGACAGTTGAACTAATGACCATTACTGAGTTCAGCTTCGGTCGGTGCAAAACCCGTTCGAACAGCTTTTATTGCCTTGCATTTTGGTTTGAAGGAAAGTGCAGGCGAAAGGAAGGAAAAGGTAGGAAAAGCTTTGCAAACCCTCTGTACTTGTTTGTTTGTTTACATGCATAATATTCTCAATGTAAGGTTGTAAGAGGCTATTCGAACGGTATGAACACAGGCCTGCACTGATCATAGTTTAACTCCCTGTCACCTAGAGGAAAAAGGGGAGAGTTTCCATTCCGGATCTCCTACCCATCGACTCTTCTCAGTTTCCGGTTTAGTTTTTAAAACACCTAAGAAAATACAAAAAAAAAAATAAATAAATAATAGGCAAATTAAGGACCATGTTTTAAAAACCCATAGTCCGAATTGTTTTTGCCTTTAGGTTGCGAGTCTCTAGGTAAGATATGTGTCTGTGGTTAGGCATGTATAAATATGTATCGAACTTTTTATATGTAATATATGCATATATAAATATTAATTTATGTTTAAACTATATTATTAATTTTTTATTTGTAAGAAATGCTCAACTTGCAATTTGAGGTTCAATAAAGAGTGTTTTTTAGAAAATAGTGGAACCTAAGATAAAAATGAATCACAAGTTATAGCCTCTAGAAATTTGCATACACATTTATTATGCAACTCATGACTTGATCACCAGGTTGAATGGGTCAATGGTCCAACCACTTGATCAAATGGCTTTTATTAGATAACTTGTCTTTGACTAAATGGTGGGTTATGTAACTATTTAGTTTTATCTTTTCTCTCCTTTTAGGGTTCAAATGGATGAATTTCATTTAGGGAAAATTCCTAATCAGTACCCTATACTTTGGCTCGAGTGACAATTTGGTCCCCGAACTTTAAAATGCGACAATTCAGTACCCTAACTTTTAAAATGTGACAATCTAGTACTTGAACTTTCAAAATATCACAATACAGTATTTGCCGTTAACCATTCCATCAATAAGTCGTTAAGTGACATTTGAAAAATAAAAAAATGCCATCTAATTCTCTTTATCAACCATCTAAACATTAACAATAAAATGAACAATCTCAAATTCTAGATTCTTCTAAACAATCACCAACTTTTTTAAATAGAAGAGGCTAGGATTGGGGACTGTTTAGAATTTTTGTCAACGTTTGGATGGTCTCAAGCCTAGTGTTTTGGTCTCGAGCCTAAGCCCGCAAGCTTGAAATACTATCCAAGCCTAGCAAAGAATGGGTTGGGCCAAGTTAGTCCATCAGGCTACTTGGGGGCCAAGTTAGTCCATCAGGCTACTTGGCCCATGAACAAGTCTAGTGGCAGATGAGCAACCATTATAGACATTAAAAATTTCATGGGCTTCTAAATGGGCTCTACCCCCACAAATTTGAATGTGCTCATGGAAAATTCCCAACATTCTTCTTTATAAAATGTAACTAGAACTAATCAAATTTCTAGTCAATCAATGCACATCTTCCCATTGATGGAAATAGACATGTTCATGGACTGGGCTTGGGCTTGCCTTTTGCCAAATTTTGAATGGGGCCCGGCCTGAAGCCTGAGCCCGATACAGTGTAAGTTAGGCCTGTGAACAGGTCTAGATGGAAATTAGTTAATGATTGAAAAGAGAACAATGGGTGATAAATTATTCTCTCCAAAAATTATAGTAATTACAATATTCTTTTACTCTCTAAAAAGGGTAAAAAGAACTAATCAAATCCTTAATCATTTATCTAAAAAATCAAATCCTCAATCAAGGGGGTTAAGAGATTATACCAAAAAATCTATAAATGGGGATTCCCATCAAGAGGGGGGGAGGAGTTTTGGTCAAAAAGAAAAACTAAGTGAAATAAGAAGGCTCTTGAGAAGAATGAAGCTCATACACCATCTTCTAAAGAGCAAAGSTACAACACCTTTAAAGTTTAGCATAATCCTTCTTTTGATCAAGCTTTTCAAGCCCAATTAAAAGAGTAATTAATTTAAAATATTATTAATGTGCCCATATTTTTCTATAATTTTTAATTTTTGTATTTTTGATATGGTGAATATATAATATTAGAAGTTTGTTTGTTAATTTATTTATTTATTTTTGTTTAAAAAAAATGTAACTACGACATCTTATGTTGACCTATTTGACTCAGATTGTTGAATTGCTTACCTACTACAAGACAGAAGAGCGTTTTTTTTTTTGCGAATAATATAAAGACCATGAAATTAAAGTAATTATGTAGGTTAACTAATATTTAACTAAGCAATATTAAGGAAAAACATTTTTCTAATATTTTTAAATTCTACATCATTTCTATATTTTTGAAAATTATTCACTAATTATAAATAATTGATTAATTAAAATACAAAATGTTGGATAGTAAACACCCAGAAATACATTAGTTGCATCATAAAAAGGTTATCATCATCAGTTATAAAATCAGGAGGCATTTCCTCGTAGAAAAATTAGTAAGAATGTCTTTATATGAAATATATCTATTTAACATAGAATAGGTGGAATTCCACTTATATTCAACATCTAATATATATATATAGATAGATAGATAGATAGATAGATAGATAGATAGATAGATAGATAGATCCTATCATTTTGATAGAAATATTTAAAATCTTGTTTTCTTCTGGAAGTTCTAATAATACAACTTTTGATTTTAGAAATGTGAGCTGAAATAATATTTAAAGTTTCTTCTACATATAAATTTAAAATGTGACATACAGATCTAATGTGATTTTTTTTTTCATTTAAAAATGGTTTTAATTGAGAACTTTATTTTCAATATACCATAAGTTTGCAAAGTATTTAAAATATGTGTAGCAATTGTTAAGCCAATATTTGATCATTCAAGTCTTGTAAAACTTAAAAATCTTTTTTTTTTTTGTAAAGGCCATGGTTCATCAATAAAATGCCTCTAACACAAATATAACTAATATTATATTTAGAAGTTTAAATACCAGATGTAAGTAAAATTCTAGAGTTAAGACTTAACAAAGTAGAAATGAAATTTTGTTTATATGAATAAAAAAATTTAAAGCTTTTTCTCTAACAACATTTCTAGAAAATTTTTTAAGGGGATTTACGAATTGTTATAGAAATATTCCATACCTACGGTCCTTAGCCAACAAAAATAATTATTTAACTTGTATAATATATTTTGCTAGTCCTTGCCTTATTTTTCCTTGTGAATATTCAAAATTACCAAAAAAAAATGTGTAATTTGTGTTTTGGCCATGTGTCTAGTCAAATGGCCAAAACCACATTTTCTACTATAACTAAAATTTCTCCTATATTTTTTGCAAACAAGTCTTTTTCCTTTTCCCTTAAAATATTTCTACTTTAAACATATTCTAGATATCTTTGGTCTTTCTCTTGCCACCCTAGCACTAGTGGTAGAAGGGGTGGCTTCATCAACAATAGTACCACTAACATTGATGTTGGTGTTATTGTACTGTGACAAGACATCATCAAAATAAAGGTTGTAAGGAAGGAGATTTTGATAAGACTCGGCCATTATAAAAAAATTGATATATTAAATCCTAAAAAATGAAAATTAATTACAACTTACTTGATCCACCATATATATATATATGGGGAAGGAGAGCATCTCATTGGTTGTTTCAAAAATAACATGGAATAAAAAAGTAAAAATTCAAAAAAAGGAGAAAATTCCAAGACTTCCTTCTTATAATATATATTTAAATATATATATATATATATTTAAAGAAAGTTTGAATTAAATATTTAATATTTCAACAAATTATATATAACTTTAAAATATTTATTAAAAAAACAAAAAAAAATATAATAGATTTAATAATATTCATATTATTAATAATTTTATATTTTACAAAATTAATTACGAAATTATGCACTAACAGTATAAATTATTATTTTCCAGATCATTTAATTTAAGGGAAAATTTCTGATCTGTACCCTGTACTTTGGCTCGAGTGACAATTTGGTCCCTGAACTTTAAAAACGCAACAATCCATTATCTAAACTTTCAAAATGTGACAATCCAGTACATGTCGTTAACCAGTTTGTTAATCAGCCGTTAAGTGACATTTGAAAAGTCAAAAATGCCCTTTGAATGCCATCTAATTCTCTTTGTCAACCACCCAAACGTTGACAAAAAACTGAGTAGTCCCAAATCCTAGCCTCTTCTATTCAAAAAAGTAGGTGACTATTTAGAAGAATCTAGAATTTGGGACAGTTCATTTTATAGTCAATGTTTGGATGGTTGATAAAGAGAATTACATGGCATTTGAAGAGCATTTTTGACTTTTCAAATGTCACTTAGTGGCTGATTAACWGACTGGTTAACGGTAGGTGCTAGATTGTCACATTTTGAAAGTTCGGGTACTATATTGTCACAATTTGAAAATTTGGGTACTGGATTGTCACATTTTAAAGTTTGGGGACCAAATTGTCACTCAAGCCAAAGTACCCATCGGGACTTTTCCCTTTTTTTAAATGTTATTCAAATAATAAAAATACAACATAAAAAATAAATATTAAAAATTTCAACAACTAAATATCTTAAATAACAAAATATTAAATATTTTAAACTCTTTACATATTATTTAAATATTTAAGTAACTAAAAGTATTTTAAATAAAAAATATTTAACATAGTTTTTTTGACACCAAAAATATTTTAAATAAAAATTACTTAACATAACTAGATTTTAAATAGTTAAATTAATGAAATTATGTAATAAATTTAAAAAATCTCTTAAAAGTAGAAAAATGTTTATAACATAATATTCAAATTAATAATAATTTAATATTTTACAAAAGTAATAATGAAATTATGTAATAATAGTATATAATATAATTTTATGGATTATTAAATTCAAGAAATAATTAATATTTTAAAATTTAAATAACTAAATAATATTGTAAATAGCTAATTTGACTTATATCAATTAATAATCCTAGAAAACAACTTTCAAAAAATTTAATATTTATTAGTAATATTTTTAACATCTTAATCTACAATTATTATAAAATCATTCTAGAAAATAACTTTTCAATAATTATGTATAAATATATCTTTATTTTTTTATTAAATAGAAATTTTTAATAATTATTGGAGGTTAAACTACTATTATTTAACTTTTTAAATTTAATTTATTGTACTTATTGTATTCTTGTTATAATTTGTTGATTAGTATTTATTAGAGATTAAAATATTATTTGAGATTACACTATTTATTGTATTTTCATTATCAATATATTTTTAATAATTGTGTATTTTTGCTATAAATTTTTAATAATTATTGGAGATTAAATTATTGTTATTTATTTGAGATTAAACAATTAATTTAGCTAAAATTAGGAGTGTTCATGGGCTGGTTTGGTTAGGTTGTAGGTTATTTGGCCAACCAAATCAACCTAGTAAGGTTGGGGAGTTGGTCACCTGAAATCGAATAACCTTTAGTGAAAATCAACCAGCTTAGGTTGTATCGATTTGGGTCGAATTCGGTTTGGTTTGTTGGGTCAAAAGATTTAAACTTGAAAAGTTAAAATGGCATTATTAAAAAATAAATTTATGATATAAAATATTTTAGAGTAAGAAACATAAGAATTTTTCCACTTTCCCATGTTAAAAATTATATTTAAAATATAAAATATTAATATATATATCTATGGTCTGGTCATTCGATTTTGGTCTATTTACAAATGGCCAAAGCAAAACTGATCCAACCTASTCGAGTTAGAAAATTGTTGAACCAAAGCCTACCGAAAATACTAGAAAACTTACCAACTTGGGTGTTATGCAGACAATTGTATACTCTTATGTTTTTCTATTGTTTAGATTTCACTTAACAGATCTCATGTATCACACGGTTCCCTACTAGATACAGAGTATGGAAGAGTATGCGAATTGGTGTGATGATAATGAGGGAGGGTAAGGGTATTTATAATTGTTGGACATAATTTAATTAACCAAAATACCCTTAAAAGCAAAAGTAATTTTATGAAAGCACTTTTACAAAAAATATTTTAATAAAAGCACTTTTATGAAAGTACTTTTACACAAAAGCACTTTTACAAAATAACTTTTATGAAAGTACTTTTATAAAAGCACTTCTATGGAAGTACTTTTATAAAAACACTTCTACGGAAGTACTTTCATTAAAGTGCTTTTACAAAAGCATTTTTATGAAACACTTTTATCAAAGCACTTTTACAAAGTGCTTTTTCAATGCCAAAAGGATATATTTTTGTAAATTTCAGATTTTCTTCATTTTAATATATTTTTGTAATTTTTATATGTTTTATTTTTTATATATTTTTTAATATTTCATTAGGTTTGGATTGGATCCAGTCCAATCCATTTACATTTTAATGAATTGGATTGAATTTGATTTGTATTGGATTTGAACTGAATTGAATTCAGTCCACTTATAAGTGGATTCACATTGGATTGGATCACCTCTAGCGACTAATGCCCTCCATGGAGGTGCTGCTAGAAGCAATTCATCTCTAACGCCATGGATGAGCAGTTGATCTTCAAATATCGTGCTTTACAACAACTATTTTTATTGATTTCATCATAGTTGCTATCATCAGTCCATGAAATCTCAAATGAGCAATTTGATAATCTTATCAACTAATGAAGGGAAAAGTAATGAAATCCAGAATTACAGGGGTCTTCATTGCAAAATAAAGTTCATGGGGCTAAATGTCACGACTAAAGGAGTAACAGAGAATTGACTTGAACAAGAAGATCACACCACCTTTGGGTTGATCAACGTATGGGCCGATGCATGGGCTCTCTATCATCCCCCCTCAAGCTGGACGGGGGTTCACAGGCATGCAGCTTGCGAAGAATATGGAGGAGACGAGCAGCGGGCAGGCTTTTGGTGAATAGATCTGCAAGTTAAATATTAGAGGGTATGTGACGGACATCCAAGAAATTGCGTGTGACCTGTTCACGGACAAAATGATAATCCACTTCGATGTGTTCGGAGCGAGCATGAAAGACCGGATTTGATGCAAACACAATAGCTGATGTGTTGTCACACCAAATAACCGAAGTGGAGAGAATGGGAATATGAAGTTCCTTGAACAAAGAGCACAACCAAGAGATTTCTACAGCAGTGTGAGCAAGGCAGCAATATTCAGCTTTGGTAGACGAGCAGACAACTATGGGTTGCTTCTTGGCACACCACGATATTGGGTTGGGCCCAAGAAAGACACAAAAACCATTAGTGGACATGTGGTCTAGTGGACAGCTGGCCCAATCAGCATCACAGTAAGTGCTCAGCTGGATTGGGCCTGGTTTGAAGAAGAGCCTAGAGGAGATGGTGCCTTTTAGATATTGGAAAATCCGTTTCACAGTGGTTAGGTGTGCTTCAGTGAGCTGTTGGAGATGCTGGCAGGCTTGATTAACTGGGAAGGTGATGTTGGGTCTGATGAGAGTTACATATTGGAGAGCACCAACCAGACTCCTGTAAGTGGTCGGATCCTTTAATGGTGGGCTTGAGGAAGCATCAATTTTGGAAGATGATGTCGGTGTGCGAGCAGGTTTGTAGCCACCCATGTCTGCACGATCAAGTAAGTCTAAGATGTACTTGGACTAATGAAGCGATAGTTCATCGTTGATGCGGTCAACCTGAATGCCAAGAAAGTATGACAATGGGTCGAGGTCCTTCATTTTGATGAATGAATTGAGCTGTTGGATGAAAGTAGAAATGAAGGAAGGGTTGATGCCCTTTATGATCATGTCATCAGCATATTGTTGGACAATCAGAATGATGTACTTTATGAGTTTATTGTAAATGAATAAAAGTGCATATTTGATTCATGTTCCCTTGGTATGTTTCTGTGTAATACCCTTAAACTGGACACTTATTGAGACTCRTGTTAGTTTAGAATGTTCACAGCCAGTGGGTCGATCTGGGGAGACCTATCCTGACAAGGCTAACACTGTGGTGCCACCAAGTCAGTTGGGGTGGCCTGTCTCAGCTGCCAAGGTGAGACCCTAGGCACATCAGTGTAGGATTAATTGAATCTATGAACTGGATCAGATTTCTAGTATTGCCCTGTACCTTGGAGATTGATGGGCAAAATTGGAAAGTTACACCCGACCCCTACACTCGATTATGATACTGCACTAGGTGTCAGATTGGGCTGTCTTTGATGTACCATTCAGTGAGATTCTTAGCGGGGGTAAAAAACTAGGTATGTTGGGAGAGTCCGAGAATTCATCTGAGTGGGTGATCATAGTGACAGGATCAGCCCCTTTGTCGGACAAAGGTAATGATCGGGGATGCATTCTCACTGATGAAAACCAAGATTGCCGGCAACCGATTTCAACCGTTGAGATTTGTTTTGCAAAGTATATTTTATGAGATATAAAATTATATATATTATGGTTTTTAAAATGTTTGCAAGAAGGTTTTAATTCCCGGGATCCATATAAGCAGAGAGTGCAACATTGTTCCTTGTAGCCGAGGGAGATGTCCTCTCTTGTCGGGCAGTGTATGATCATTATGGGCTGAGAGGTTAHGTGTAAGACCATTGAGGATAATACCTAATGGGCTAATCTTGCATATGCCCACAGTCCCTGGGTGTTACAAGGTGGCTTGGCCCAGTGACCACTTAAGGTAAGTGTTGGGCACATAGAGCCTATTTGATGGGTTTCAGGGGGTGCACTATCCATAACAGTGTATTCGGCCAGGCCTTGTAACAAAGGCTGGGCCGAACCTATGTGGCTAATGTGTAGATCAATGCTTGGGTCCCACGCCATACAAGGAAGCCCAACTGGGCA